GGGCTTTGGGCTGAGCACTAGTCAAGACATTTATGGTATTGGGAGGTGTTTATCTTGCACTTATCATCTAACAAGTCGAAATACCGGGTGATCATACTACTCGCTTTCGAGAGTTAGCATCCCTGTTGTTTAATCACACATGAATCTACACGAGACATTGTATCATCTGAACTTTCGAGGGGCTTCTCCGACTCTACGGAAGAGGATCTCTGAAAGAACTTATATCCAATCTTTGGTTGATGATAGGTCCAACTCAGAAGGGAAGAATGGCACTTTTACATTGCTATTGTTACGGAGCAGAAGTGGATGGGGGATAGTACGGATTCAGACCTACCTGTGAACATTTAGAACTAACGTGAACAACGGATGGTAGGAAAGAAGGGTCCGTACAGCCCAAGTAGTCTGAAAGTATAGCAGAGGAATGAGTTTCTTTAAGGTTAGGGAACAAGCTTAAACAGAAATTACTATACATGTGCACCAGTGTCTCATAAAATGTTTTGTAGATACAATAAAGTACATTAGAACGTTCCCTGAACAGAAGGGTGCTTGCATCTTACAGTCTTTAAAACTTCTTCCAACTTTTTGGACCTTCTTAGAAGGACAATCTGGACGTTTATTTCCCTTAACACCACCACAATGACAAACAGATAAAGAAGTCATTTTACTTTCCACTAGAGGCTTTGATTTCTTAAGGTCTGATGACCGGACTTGCCTTAGGGTTCCGAATCCCTTTAGGTTTTTATAGGAATTGTGAGCTCAGCTTACAGGTCAGGAGCCTCAGCAACTTCCTCAGCTTTAATCAGGTTATGTTCTCATGATGCATGTTTCGTATTTGGATGAGAAAGAGCTGTCAGGAACTGGTCAGCAAACCATGAAGCCTCTAAGAGATTCATACTGTGATCAAATCCTGAAACTATCTATCCAAAAGTCGGAATCAACGACAAAGAGTGTTACCTGTACTGTTGAAAGCGTTCTGGTGGCTAGGCTGTTAGTTGGCATACCTGAAATTCTTCCTGTAAGGAATTAGTGGTTTTTGATATGCTTTAAGGATTTGGCTTCTTTGTAGGTTATAATACATATGGTTGATCCTGCGACAAAGTTGCAGTAGAGTATCAAATCAGTACACAGGAAAATTAAGCATTCCTGACCTGGTAGCCCAGGTGTTAGCATGGCATTTCACCAGAGGGTAGCGGTATTTTCACCTGATAATGTATGAAGTTATGTCTTCCACTCTGTGAAGGCGGAGGTAAATTAGGTATTGGAATATCGTTGCACTGACAGCACGTTGTTCCATTACTCCTTCCCTCTAATTGTAGTTGTGTAAAAATTAACTTTTTATTCTCTATTCAAGGGCGAGATTTTCGATCTCGCGATCCTTTTCTCTTTCCTTCATGTTCTCTTAATTTAACTTGTTCTTCACGTACCCTTGCTCTTTCCTCACGATCAAGTCTATCACGATCTTGTTGTCTTCTCGCTCTCTTTCTAATAACAGTTCTTTCTCGGATTTCTCTCGCAATTCTCTCTCTCTCCTTTGCTCTGTCCTGTTCAAGGTTCTCTTTCTCCTTTTTCTCTTCTCTATCGATTACTCTCTCTCCTCTCCTTATTCTCTTCTTTTCGATTCTCTCTCTCTTCCTTATTCTCTTCTCTTTCCACTTCTAGCTGTCTTTCTTCTCTCTCAATTCTCTCTCTTTAAAGTCTTTCCTGGAATCTTAGCACTAAGATGAAAGATCTAAATTTCTCCCTGTTTATCCTGTAACTTACTTCCAGCGTTCATCAAAAACTGGTATTCATCCATGCTTGCGGGAATAACTTAAATATTTTTTTTTTTATTATCACACTGGACGATTACACCAAGGCAGGGTGGCCGAATAAAGTAAAAACTTTCACATATCAGTCACTCCATCACTGTACTTGCCAGAGGGTGCTTTACACTACTGTTTTTAAACTGCAAACATTAAACCCTACTTCGGAGTGCAGGCACTGTACTTCCCATCTCCAGGACTTAATGTCCGGCTGCGTTTCCTGAATCCATTCATAAATGTTACTTTGTCACACTCCAACAGCAGTCAAGTATTAAAAACCATTTTGTCTCCATTTACTCTATCAAACACGCTCACGCATGCCTGCTGGAAAGTCCAAGCCCTCGCACCCAAAAACCTCCTTTTCCCCTCCCTCCAACCATTCCTAGGCTGACCGATACCCGCCTTTTCACTACAGGACTGATACCACTCTTGAATTATTCTGTTTCGCTCCATTCTCTCTCCATGTCCGAACCACCTCAACAACCCTTCCAGCCCTCGGCAAAACAGTTTTGGTATATCGCACCTCCTCCTAATTTCATACGAATTCTCAGCATTATATTACACCACACATTGCCCTCAGACATGACATCTCCACTGCCTTCAGCCTTCTACTGCTGCAACATTCATCACCCATGCTTCACACCCATATAAGGGAGACGTTGGTAAAAACGATACTCTCATACATTCCCTCTTCTGCTCCAAGGACAAAGTTTTCTTTGTCTCCACAGAATTCCTAAGTGCCACAACTCACTCTTGTTTCCCTCATCAATTCTATGATTCACCTCATCTTTCATGACCCATCCGCTGACACTCCACTTTAAACTATCAGGGAAATGAAGGGGTATTAAAGAAAACGGGGGGTTCAATTCCTGCCCCACTCAAACTGTAAATAAACCAGAGGGCTCGATCCCTGCTTCAATTAAACAATAGTTATTAACGAAAACGAAGGGTTCTATGCGGCTCCGAGCAAACAGTAAGTAGAATGGGGTCCCTTGACCATCCAATCTTCTCACCAACAAATCAAGAGTGTCCTATGAAGTTCCTTGATATATAATAGAGCTCAATGAAACAAGTTGTCACTGGAAAATCTCGGGTCCTAGAGTCTAATCCTCCAAATGTTCAAGCTCCCACACAATTAGTGGCAGAATTCAATATTATATCCTGCCTGACTTGACTTACAATAAATTGAGACTATAACAATCACCAAATCTTTTAAATACCTGTACTCTGTAGTCCTACCATCGAGAATGATTACTCATGGCTGGTGGTAACCGTCTGTGGTATGCAGCGTTGAAGTTCAATGATAGATTCGAGATGGAGTTGAATCTTGATTCAGTAGAGTTGATCCTGGCAAGGTCGCCACTTGTGAAGGCTTACTCAGCCCTGTAACAACTTCAGTCAGTATTACTCAGGCTGGCTCCTCCTCAGGAAAATTTGTGAATAGAAAAAGAAATAATAACAGACAATCATAAACACTTTATTATATAGAAAATATAAAATATAAAACACTTAAATATGAAATATTAATCCTACATTAAAGAAAATGAAAAAGGAAAAATATAAATGATAACTGAACTCAACGCTAAAATAACACTTGGGTGTCTAGTGTTGGTGACACTGCTTGTTGAAATCGTAGCCATTGCTGATGATGGGGGGGGGGTCGCAGGTGTTGGTGACCACCACTGGCTAGTTCTTCACAGATAATCGCCGTGATTATTATCCCGATGACAGGAAAGCAGGTTCTTTACTGCTGCAATGATGTGGGGTTACGTCCTGCAATTTCATACAGGTGCACAGGTAATGAGATCCAAAATGGAGAAGTCTCTGGACGTTAGTCCTTCTCCTGTTCTGCTCGTTGATTGACAGGTGACCCTCACTGTCATCCAAGCTAAAAAGATAGACAGGTTACCCACTGCTTAAATAATCACTCTCCATGGCAGTGTACATTACTCAAAATACGTGGTGATTATTACAACAGTCAACATAGAGCAAGGCTGAAAGGACTAAGTTTATTATTGGTCAAAAGTGAAGCTTTTAACCAATAAATCCACTGGAATACAAGGCAGGCATGTACTTACAGTAGTGTTGGGAGCTGTGAGTCGAGTGATTTACTGTTTGACCAGAGCCCCACACGTCACCTTTCGAGGGGGGGGTGGAAGAGGGAGGGGAAGGGATAGCGGGAGCTAAACTGACCCTACGTTAACAAGCAGCCAGCAATCAAACTATCACTTTAGGGGTGGGGGAGAAAAGGCGGGAAAAACGGGAGCGTGACTTACCCTACCTTAACTAGTAGCCGGCAATGAAACTATCACTTTCGGGGAGGGGGAAGAAAGGCGGGAGCGTGACTTACCCTACCTTAACTAGTAGCTGGTAATGAATCTATTGTTACTATATTGCTACTCCTATCTATTGAACTTTTCTCTCACAGTATGTATATATACATATACCACAGGTGGGATTAGAACCTCAGAGTCTCAAAACTCCAGACCGTCGCATTAGCCACTGGGCCAGCTAGCTTCAATACGGGAGACTCGTCTGTTAAAACTTGTATTTGTGGACACAGTGGTGCCTATGCTAATCATCCATTGGTGTAGAAATATACCTAGTTGGATGAATCTTATTGAAGCTAGCTGACCCAGTGGCTAACGCGACGGTCTGGAGTTTTGAGACTCTCTGACCGCGGATTCAAACCCCACCCATGGTATGGTTTGTTTGCAATCGTGTCATTACGATTTTGTGAGTCAAATCTGTGTACAGCAGAATTCCCCGCTGGACTTGAAAATCCGCAGAATCGAGAAAACACAAGGAGCATTCAAATTTAAAATAGTTTATTGCATTCATTAGATTTTGATTTTTTTTCAGAAACTAAAAATAGTTTGAAAAATATAGCTTCCAGAATTTCCCTGGCTTATTAAATAATAAATTTTAGTGCAATTTTATTTGTATACTTATTAAGACTTTACCCGCAGGATTTTCAACGACCCCACTTGGGGCCACTGACCCGTTTCCCAACCTCTGGTACAGATAGTAGTGTATTTTTACCTTGATAACTATTGATAACTGTAGTTATCACTATACATATTGATAACTGCAATTACTATACATATAGGCAATTGTAGGAGCGACTATACATATGGGTATTTTCCTATAAAAAAGTACACATAATGACAAATTTCAATGTATACATGACAAACTTACTTGGTTTAACTCCGAATCGTAGCCACCGTTGACGGTCACGTCGCACACCTCACATGAAATATGTCGTGTGAGATCGACTTCGCTGTAAATTATAAATGAAATGAGCTCCTGGACACATAGTTAGCAATAAAAAACTTTATCTAACAAAAGAGGTTAATAAGACATGATACACAGTTTCTGGAGGTGGGAAGTACAGTGTCTGGCACTCTGAAGGTAGGAAGTACAGTGTCTGGCACTCTGAAGGTGGGAAGTACAGTGTCTGGCACTCTGAAGGTGGGAAGTACAGTGTCTGGCACTCTGAAGGTAGGAAGTACAGTGTCTGGCACTCTGAAGGTGGGAAGTACAGTGTCTGGCACTCTGAAGGAGGTAGGAAGTACAGTGTCTGGCACTCTGAAGGTGGGAGGTACAGTGTCTGGCACTCTGAAGGAAGTACAGTGTCTGGCACTCTGAAGGTGGGAAGTACAGTGCCTGGCACTCTGAAGAAGGTGGGAAATACAGTGTCTGGCACTCTGAAGGTGGCAAGTACAGTGTCTGGCACTCTGAAGGAGGTAGGAAGTACAGTGTCTGGCACTCTGAAGGTGGGAGGTACAGTGTCTGGCACTCTGAAGGAAGTACAGTGTCTGGCACTCTGAAGGAGGTGGGAAGTACAGTGTCTGGCACTCTGAAGGAAGTACAGTGTCTGGCACTCTGAAGGAAGTACAGTGTCTGGCACTCTGAAGGAAGTACAGTGTCTGGCACTCTGAAGGAAGTGGGAAGTACAGTGTCTGGCACTCCGAAGGTGGGAAGTACAGTGGACCCTCGACCAACGATGGCATCGATTAACGATAAATCCGACCATCGATACATTTTAACGCAAAAATTTTGCCTCGACTAGCGCTAAAAAACTTGACCAACACTATTCGCTCCGTCTGAGACGCATCCACTTCTGGCCAGTGTTTACAAACCAGCCACCGCGGTCACTTCCAAGCATACAATCGGAACATTTCATATTATCACAGCCTTTTTAGTGACTGCACCTGCAAAATAAGTCACCATGGGCCCCAAGAAAGCTTCTAGTGCCAACCCTACAGCAAAAAGGGTGAGAATTACTATGGATATGAAGAAAGAGATCATTGCTAAGTATGAAAGTGGAGTGCATGTCTCCGAGCTGGCCAGGTTGTACACAAAACCCCAATCAACCATCGCTATTATTGTGGCCAAGAAAACGGCAATCAAGGAAGCTGTTCTTGCCAAAGGTGCAACTATGTTTTCGAAACTGAGATCACAAGTGATAGAAGATGTTGAGAGACTGTTATTGGTGTGGATAAATGAAAAACAGATAGCAGGAGATAGCATCTCTCAAGGATCATATGTGAAAAGGCTAGGAAGTTGCATGACGATTTAATTAGAAAAATGCCAGCAACTAGTGGTGATGTGAGTGAATTTAAGGCCAGCAAAGGTTGGTTTGAGAGATTTAAGAATCGTAGTGGCATACATAGTGTGATAAGGCATGGTGAGGCTGCCAGTTTGGACCAAAAAGCAGCTGAAAAATATGTGAAGGAATTCAAGGAGTACATAGACAGTGAAGAATTGAAACCTGAACAAGTGTTTAATTGTGACACTGACAATGTTGTGAAACACCTTAGGAATGTCATAAAGGAACGGGAGGTACAGACCTCTATGGACAGATATGTTGTGCAACACAAGTTCAGTGGCTCTCAAGCTGGTCCTAGTGGCATTAAAAGAAGAAGGGAAGTAACCCCAGAAAAGGACTTGCCACCTCAAGTCCTAATGGAAGGGGATTCCCTTCTAAACACTAACACCATCAACACTCTCCCCTCCTCCCATCCCATCAATCATCACCAGATCTTCAATAAAGGTAAGTGTCATGTAATTGTACATGTCTTCTTCAGTTTGTGTGTATTAAAATTAATATTTCATGTGGTAAAAAATTTTTTTTTCAATACTTTTGGGTGTCTTGCACGGATTAATTTGATTTCCATTATTTCTTATGGGGAAAATTAACTCGACTAACGATAATTTCGATTAACGATGAGCTCTCAGGAACGGATTAATATCGCTGGTCGAGGGTCCACTGTACAGTGTCTGGAGCTCTGAAGGTGAAAAGTACGGTGTCTGGTACTCTGAAGGTAGAAAGTACAGTGTCTGGTACTCTGGAGGTGGGAAGTACAGTGTCTGGTACTCTGGAGGTGGGAAGTACAGTGTCTGGAACTCTGAAGGTGGAAAGTATAGTGTCTGGTACTCTGGAGGTGGGAAGTACAGTGTCTGGTACTCTGGAGGTGGGAAGTACAGTGTCTGGTACTCTGGAGGTGGGAAGTACAGTGTCTGGAACTCTGAAGGTGGAAAGTACAGTGTCTGGTACTCTGGAGGTGGGAAGTACAGTGTTTGGTACTCTGAAGGTGGGAAGTACAGTGTCTGGAACTCTGAAGGTGGAAAGTACAGTGTCTGGTACTCTGGAGGTGGGAAGTACAGTGTCTGGTACTCTGGAGGTGGGAAGTACAGTGTCTGGAACTCTGAAGGTGGAAAGTACAGTGTCTGGTACTCTGGAGGTGGGAAGTACAGTGTCTGACACTCTGACGGTGGGAAGTACAGTGTCTGACACTCTGAAGGCGGGAAGTAGAGTGTCTGACACTCTGAAGGAGGGAAGCACAGTGTCTGACACTCTGAAGGTGGGAAGTACAGTGTCTGACACTCTGAAGGAGGTGGGAAGTACAGTGTCTGGCACTCTGAAGGTGGGAAGCACTGTGCCTGGCACTCTGAAGGTGGGAAGTACTGTGTTTGGCACTCTGAAGGTGGGAAGTACAATGCCTGACACTCAGAGGTGGGAAGTACAGTGCCTGGCACTCTGAAGGTGGGAAGTACAATGCCTGACACTCAGAGGTGGGAGGTACAGTGCCTGGCACTCTGAAGGAGCAGTTTGGGATATTTGCTGTGTAGAGTGACATCTGAACTGTTGTATCTGAGAGTCTCTGGACGGTTCAAATGATGGTGAAAGTGTTTCTTTTTTGGGGTCGCCCTGCCTCAGGCTGAGACAGCCCACGTGTTTAAAATGAAATTGTTTCTGGAATTTTATTGACGCGTTTCAACCATGAGAAATTTTATCAATGGACAGAAAAATAAAATCTACAAGGAATGTTATTAATTCTCAATAGTTTAACGCAAAAATAATCTCATTAAAAATGTTATGAACCAATATTTGTCTTATTAACATATTTACTGCTACAAAATACCACTGATATACACACATTAATAGAGTAATCAATCCTTATATAAATACAAGCAGTCCTTGACATACAATGGGGTTACGTTCCGACAAAAACATTATAAGATGGAAATACTGTAAATCGAAAACAAATGTGATATAAGAAATAAATAATTACTGTAACTAAATACCAGTATAGTAAGTCGTCAACTTACAAACACGTTGGATACCTGAATTGTGTATAATACTGTATAATACACAATAATGATATAATACATAATACAGAGGATTCTCAACTTGTTTGTAAGACGAGAACTTACTTGTATTGGAGAGAAAATAAATGAATACAAGTTACAAACTTGCCGCCTGCATGCCGTGTAATTATCTCAAGTTTCCTCTCCATAGTAATTGATGCTGCACCATCATAAATTTGAAATATCATAAGTCAAGGATTACCTGTAAAATCATTGCTACTTACCAACCAGAGGACTTCAGTGCTGCCATCATCAACTTCACCAGAGGACCTGTGAATTACATTAACCTTCATGACATTACAGCCATTGAGAAATATTACAGTGTTCATTTTAATTCTAAAAATAGTAATAGCCCAGTTGATCAGTCCCTGATCCACCACAAGGCCTGGTCATGGACTGTGTTGCAGGGGCATTGACCTCTGGAAATGCTCTGCATAACCAGAGACTTTCTATATAATATGTCATTTATGTCAGCTGTGGTCTGTATAAGTTGTATCATATACTTATAGAAATATACATGATTAGTATTATTGCTGTTATTATTATTATTATTATTATTATTATTATTATTATTATTATTATTATTATTAAGACCCCTTAACAAAATATGGTAACATGAGCTGTATCAATCAATCACCCCATGCCAGCATTCTTCTCCAAAGTTTGTATATGGTAATTCACTCTTTTATTCTGTACAATGTCTTAAATTAACTATGAAAAAGTAATTAAAAGTACCATTTAAGTGGATTTTATCTATTATTTGAGAAGTTTGTTATTGACGTCCACTGTACCAAGAGGTTCAGAAATAATCTTTACCAGACTGGAGTTTCCTATACGTGGCAATGATACACAGCGTCCTCACTTAACGCCATCGACAGGGTCTTGGTAACTGCAACTATAAGTGACACGACATAACAAAACCAATTTTACCGTACGCTAATTGATATAAACATGGGGGTGCACAGTGCACCTGTAGCACTCATTGCAACAAGGTTAAATCAAGGAGCAAATGTTTGCAAAGCAAAAATTGTAAGTATTACCTCCTACCACCATGCTGTTCACAAATGGAAAGTGCAAACTGCCCTGGCCAGGAATTGATTTTTTTTGTTATGACTAAACTATGTTAAACAAAATGGTGTTAAGTAAGGACTTACTGTATATTAAATTTTGTATAATAATGGCCCCAAAACACAAAAGTAGAGAAGCTGGCAGTTCTTCAAAGCCTAAGAGAAGCTGTGAAGTGCTTCCCATTAGTGAAAAAGTGATAATTTATCAATTAAATTAAACTTTATAATAGTTATGTATAGGATATATTAAATATACACATACGGTTCGTTACAGTCCACGGTTTTGGTAACAGCAGCAGGTCCTTGTAACATAACCTCCATGGATACAGGGGTCCTACTTATACTAAAATATAATTTTTCTAATCGTAATTTAGTGTTGACATAGGGGAATATACAGGCATACCTCACTAATACAGCGGGTTAGGCTCCAGACAACTGCCATAAAGCGAATATTGCCGTTAACGTGGATCACATCTTTTTTTCACTTACCAGTGCATATAAAAGCCTAAAATCATGTTTACACTATAACTTATTAAGCGTGCAACTGCATTAGGCCTAAAAAGCGATGTAAAAGTAAAAACGATGAAAAAAACAAAATTAAAATTGCCAAAAAATATCTTAAGAGCAAAGCAAATGCCACAAATAAAGAACGTAAATATAAGTGAAAAGCGCCATATTGGGGAAGCACTCTAAAGCGCCGTATTAACAAGGTACGCCTGCATAAAAAATATCGCTGGATAGAACGTGAGGCCTATTCCAATTGTATTTCCTGACCCTACACTTGGGAACACCTCACTAGGGCTAAAAATTGGCATGCATTGCACTTACTGCTCTGCACACAACCCCATACATTTTTTTCGCACTTCATTTTGTCAGCACTTTCCCGTCCTTCACCCAGAAGAGCGATCTTGGCGAGCGATGGTTTATATTTCTCCCCACGGCGCTCTGGATACAAGTCGTAACCCCATCTGTAAAATGAAGTGTTTATATAATATCAAAACAGTACAGGAGGTCCAAAACTTATGAATAAATTGCCTTACGATAAAATTAATTTAGAGATGATCTGCATCACAATCAATTTTATTTACAAACATTATTATAAATTTAACTTACAAATGCATTACACTGCTGTAAATTTAATTTACAAACATTACAATATATTTTATTTACAAACATTACGATAAATTTAATTACAAATGAATTGCACCACAAAGATTTTAACTTATGAATGAACAACATTCAAAATATTTTAATTTACAAACATTGTTCCGACAATTTTAATATACGTATTAATGAAATGCGGTCCAACAATTTTAATTGGAAACGGATACCTGTATTTTCTGGGAACAAGATGGTCCGGTGTCGAGGACGGCCACCCTATTCTGACTGACTAAATTTTGGAAAAAAAGATGAACGGTACTTCAGTCTCTGAGATGCTGGGTAAATTTTCAAGACTTATTTGGGGGGAAAAAAAAATAGCATCTTTGATGCCCTAAAATATGATACTTTCCAACAATTTTTATATACAAATGAATGTTTACGATTTTCTCAACAAATTGATTTTTTTAACAATTTTAACCTACAAATTAATAGTTTTACAGAGATCTTAATTTAAGAACTGTTTCGAATACTTTACGAACAGTGTTCCATCAATTTTGATTTACAAATTGCGTTGCAACAATTTTAATCAAAACCGAGCCTGCATAACTTTAAACCTACTCTATTATCAGACAAAACTGACAGTACAGAGAATAATATAGTAAGTCCTCGACTTACTAACACATTGGGGACCTCCTAAATTTTGTATTTTATAATAATGATATACACAATAATGATATAATAATGATATAATAATGATATAATAATGATATAATAATGATATAATAATGATATAATAATGATATAATAATGATATAATAATGATATAATAATGATATAATAATGATATTATACTAAATACAAAAGTTTCTCAATGTGTTTATAATACAATAGATTTCATACTGTAATTACAGATCAACGCTAAAAAAAAATTATAGTACAACCTCAATATAATGGACTCGTGTGTGACAGAATTCAGATACAACATTTAAAATATTTGGCCGGACAAATGTTCCCTGCAACAGTGTGTCAAAATTTTGTCTTCAAGCTGGCACTGGACAAGCACCTAAAGTCGGTTCCTGACCAGCCGGGCTGTGGCTCGTACGTTGGTTTGCTTGCAGCCAGCAGCAACAGCCTGGTTGATCAGGCTCTGATCCACCAGGAGGCCTGGTCACAGACCGGGCCGCGGGGGCGTTGACCCCCGGAACTCTCTCCAGGTAAACTCCAGGTAATTAGCGAAAGCGTTCCGCCAGGCAAGACCCCATACAACACTCCACAATTGTTCCGTTGGGTTTTTTGACACAACAAAGTTCCAAGTGAACAAACACTTCTTCCCGGCACTCTATTATGCCAGGGCTTCAGAAAGAATGTTTTTTGTACTTGTTTGTAAATGCAGGTCGTCGTAACTTGGACGTTCATCGATAAAAAGAAAAGTCATTTATTTACCATAATAATAATAATCTTAATACTATTACTGCTATTATTAATAATAATAATAATAATAATAATAATAATAATAATAATAACAATAATAATAATAATAATAATAATAATAATAATAATAATAATAATAACTAATTCATTCAATAATAGTAAATTCATTAATAAATAATAATGAGATAAATAATAATAATTATAACTTATTAATAATGATAAAAATATGAATATAAAATTTACATTATTATCAATATACAATCAACCGGAAGCACTAAACCAGTATGGGCCCCCTACACAGCTCCCTGGGAGGTGGTGACCCCCCCCGCGACACGATCCAGTTCCTCGGAACAAACGCCACCACAATCCTAACTTAAGTGCTAAACCCGTATGGGGGCGTGAATAAAGTCATCGACTCTCATCGTACTTCTCCTCCTGCAGGTGTTGTGAGGTGGCAGGTGACTCGACCCCCACACCAGCACGGTGGGCACCCACAGCCTCTTCTGCGTCTGCGTTCATCCCTTTAGGGTTTGTCCCTCTCCTTCAGGATGTCTTCCTCTCCTTCAGGATGTTTCCTCTCCTTCAGGATGTCTTCCTCTCCTTCAGGATGTCTTCCTCTCCTTCAGGATGTCTTCCTCTCCTTCAGGATGTCTTCCTCTCCTTCAGGATGTCTTCCTCTCCTTCAGGATGTCTTCCTCTCCTTCAGGATGTCTTCCTCTCCTTCAGGATGTCTTCCTCTCCTTCAGGATGTCTTCCACTTCGTCAGGATGTTAGTGTTGTTGTTAAGTATTATAGGGACACTCGGAGGTGTCGCCGTACCGAGTCCTCTTTTCCTGTCAACTGGGAAGAAACATTGGCCAAATCTGGCCAAATACTGGCCAAATACTAGTTAAATGTGGGCCGAATATTGGCCGAACATGGGCTGAATACTTGGCCAGATATTGGCCAAATATTTTGCCAGATGTTGGCCAAATGTGGTTGATTTCTTGACTCACGAAATCGTATTGACACGATTGCCACTGTAACTTGCTCAGCTATCAAAACTTTGGAGTCCAGTCCCTGGACCAATTATGTACCTCTGTAATCTTTTGACTACCGCCCACAGGATGGGTATGGGGTGCATAATAAACATATTAAACTAACTAACTAAACACGATTGCCAACAAACCATACCACGGGCGGGGCTAGAACCCGCGATCAGAGTCATAAAACTCCAGACCGTCGCGTTAGCCACTGGACCAGCTAGCCACAAATGCAAGTGCATTTGTGGTCACAGTGGTGGCCTATGCTAACCTTCCTATGATGTAGAAATATACCTAGTTGGACGAATCTTATTGTGGCTAGCTGGTCCAGTGGCTAACGCGACTGTCTGGAGTTTTCAGATTCTCTGATCGCGGGTTCTATCCCGGCCCGTGGTATGGTTTGTGGTTGATTTCCCAATTAAGTCTGGTGGACCACTTGTGTCAGTCCCTGAACAGCAGGACACTTGACACCAATGGAAATATAAGGACCACAATAGAAATACACCCTCCCCTGGGTAATCCTGGGTGGCTAACACTCCCCTGGGTTACCATGAGTGGCTAACCCTCCCCTGGGTTATCTTTGGTGGCTAACCCACCTGGGGTAAAAATCCCAAAGAAATCTTATCTAAATTTATCATATTTAGGCTCAGTGTTATACGATTCTTGGTCATTACAATTCTCCATTAATTATAAATTACAAAGGACACTGGGGTCCTTGTACTTACACTGGCCTGGTGGATAAAGCTCTCGCTTTAAACACGGAGGGCCAGGGTTCGATTCCCGGCGGGGTGGAAGCATTTCGACGTGTTTCTTTACACCTGTTGTCCTGTTCATCTAGCAGCAAGTAGGTACCTAGGTGTTAGTGGACTGGTGTGGGTCACATCCTGGGTGTTAGTGGACTGGTGTGGGTCACATCCTGGGTTAGTGGACTGGTGTGGGTCACATCCTGGGTGTTAGTGGACTGGTGTGGGTCACATCCTGGGTGTTAGTGGACTGGTGTGGGTCACATTCTGGGTGTTAGTGGACTGGTGTGGGTCACATCCTGGGTGTTAGTGGACTGGTGTGGGTCGCATCCTGGGTGTTAGTGGACTGGTGTGGGTCACATCCTGGTGTTAGTGGACTGGTGTGGGTCACATTCTGGGTGTTAGTGGACTGGTGTGGGTCACATCCTGGGTGTTAGTGGACTGGTGTGGGTCACATCCTGGGTGCTAGTGGACTGGTGTGGGTCACATCCTGGGTGTTAGTGGACTGGTGTGGGTCACATCCTGGGTGTTAGTGGACTGGTGTGGGTCACATCCTGGGTGTTAGTGGACTGGTGTGGGTCACATTCTGGGTGTTAGTGGACTGGTGTGGGTCACATCCTGGGTGTTAGTGACTGGTGTGGGTCGCATCCTGGGTGTTAGTGGACTGGTGTGGGTCACATCCTGGGTGTTAGTGGACTGGTGTGGGTCACATTCTGGGTGTTAGTGGACTGGTGTGGGTCACATCCTGGGTGTTAGTGGACTGGTGTGGGTCACATCCTGGGTGCTAGTGGACTGGTGTGGGTCACATCCTGGGTGCTAGTGGACTGGTGTGGGTCATATCCTGGGTGTTAGTGGACTGGTGTGGGTCACATCCTGGTGTTAGTGGACTGGTGTGGGTGGCATCCTGGATGTTAGTGGACTGGTGTGGGTCACATCCTGGGAGTTAGTGGACTGGTGTGGGTCACATCCTGGGTGTTAGTGGACTGGTGTAGGTCACATCCTTGGTGTTAGTGGACTGGTGTGGGTCACATCCTGGGTGTTAGCGGACTGGTGTGGGTCACGTCGTGGGTGCTAGTGGAATGGTGTGGGTCTCATCCTGGGTGTTAGTGGACTGATGTGGGTCACATCCTGGGTGTTAGTGGACTGGTGTAGGTCACATCCTGGGTGTTAGTGGACTGGTGTGGGTCACATCCTGGGTGTTAGTGGACTGGTGTGGGTGGCATCCTGGGTATTAGTGGACTGGTGTAGGTCACATCCTGGGTGTTAGTGGACTGGTGTGGGTGGCATCCTGGGTATTAGTGGACTGGTGTGGGTCACATCCTGGGTGTTAGTGGACTGGTGTGGGTCACATCCTGGGTGTTAGTGGACTGGTGTGGGTCACATCCTGGGTGTTAGTGGACTGGTGTGGGTCACATCCTGGGGGACAAGATTGAGAATCAAAATGGAATTAAGTAAGACAGTCCTCGATGACGCACTGACTTTCTTGGGTTATCCTGGCTGGCTAACCCTCCAAGGTTAAAAATCCCAACGAAATATTATCTTATCTTATTTAAAGTAAAAGGACACAAGTGCAACTAATGTGACATTTATTGTGGCAACGTTTCGCTCTCCAGGAGCTTTATCAAGCCATTACAAACAATACATGGACACAGAGGGTATATAAAGGCTCAGAGTGAGGTGAATACTAGTGAGGTACCATTTAGATGTTCACTAGTGGTAGTGGTAGTAGTAGTAGTAGTAGTAGTAGTAGTAGTAGTAGTAGTAGTAGTAGTAGTAGTAGTAGTAGTGGTAGTGACAAAAGTAATACAATATGGTAGAGCAATTAATTCGTACATGTATTGTTTGTAATGGCTTGATAAAGCTCCTGGAGAGCGAAACGTTGCCACAATAAATGTCACATTAGTTGCACTTGTGTCCTTTTACTTTACATATTGTCGGTAATTCTACCAACTTTATTACAAACTTATCTTATTTCCAATAGGGGGGGGGTCCTTGCGTTATCCTGGTTTACCATAGTTACCCATTAAAGCGTTTTCTTAAAATGTTAAATATATATTACAGAAAACGGAGTAGCAGAAAATAATAATAATAATAATAATAAATAATAATAATAATAATAATATAATAATAATAATAATAATAATAATAATAATAATAATAATAATATAATAATAATAATAATAATAATAATAATAATAATAATAATCCAGGTGAACATTGACAGCAGGTGTTTGTCAGGTGTTGTGTTCAAGCTTCAGGGTCCCCATAACAGCTGAAGCTTCATGGCCCCCATAAGAGTTCAAGCTTCAGGGCCCCATAAGAGCTCAAGCTTCAGGGTCCCCATAACAGTTCAAGCTTCAGGGTCACCATAACAGTTCAAGCTTCAGGGTCCCCATAACAGCTCAAGCTGCAGGGTCCCCATAACAGTTCAAGCTTCAGGGTCCCCATAACAGCTCAAGCTGCAGGGTCCCCATAACAGTTCAAGCTTCAGGGTCCATATGGAAAATTTTGTAGGAGTGATTACTTGTACATACCTCAACATTACATGCATACGAGTAATCTCCTTGGGAGACAACAACTATATGGTTTACCGTAGTCACCCCGTGTAGACATGTGAGAAAACTTAACCACCTCTGGTCACTGCAGGTTAAGATAAGATAAGATTTCGTTCGGATTTTTAACCCCGGAGGGTTAGCCACCCAGGATAACCCAAGAAAGTCAGTGCGTCATCGAGGACTGTCTAACTTATTTCCATTGTGGTCCTTAATCTTGTCCCCCAGGATGCGACCCACACCAGTCGACTAACACCCAGGTACCTATTTGCTGTTAGGTGAACAGGACAACAGGTGTAAGGAAACGTGTCGAAATGTTTCCACCCGCCGGGAATCGAACCCGGGCCCTCCGTGTGTGAAGCAGGAGCTTTAGCCACCAGGCCACCGGGCCACCAGGTTGCCCCTCGACCCTCACAATCTTATCCATATCTATCCGAGACCAGTATAAATTGGGTAGCACCCTCAATTACGGCGCTACTAATTAATTGTGGACTGTATAGATTATATTAGTTTAACTGAATGAAGGGAGGGGTGGGGTAGGTTACACATGGATATATCCATCAGGGAAAAACACTTCTACATAATCCCACCACTTACCAGATATTCTCTGGTGGTCACTTGATGTAGCTGGATCACCCATAACCTATCCAATTACAACATACCTAACTGGCCAGTATCAGTCTGCTATAACTAGAAGGGTTACTTAACTGTGGGTGATTGATACTCCTTATTTCCTCCATTCACCATCTCATTTCGATGTCCTGCTACACCGACACGGTTCTTATTCCAGCAGGACGAGGTATCCGTCGGTTTGTCCCGATTTAGAAGTCGTGACTCCATAAAGCTTCACTATCCTCGGGACAGGAACAACGAGGTAAACATGTGCACACACACTCTGGGAATGGCAGTTCATATCGCTTCAACGATTCCTTAACTTAGTGTTATTATCACTGATTACATTACGATTTACAAGACGGTTTAATGTCTCATAATTATTATACACATTGGAGGCCACTCCATTAAGATTTGAGACCGATGAGTGATGATTAAATCACGGGTATTTTTCCCCAGGACACAGTCCATGGCGACGCGCCAGTCACCACCGGTCCTACCATTATTCACTCATTTTACCACCTTATTACGGTGGTCCCGTAAATCACGTTCCCTCACTCTCCACCAGGAACAGTTACGACACTTCTTATTATGAAATGAGGCCCATATTAATCCTTAGGCCACCGTTAACGCCAATTTCCTGGTTCCATGCTTTCCCAGCCTCCTCACTACATTCAAAAAACTCCCGCCTCCTCCTCGTGCCCCAGCTCGACCTCCCCCCGCACATCTGCGCATGCGCAAAGGGAACTCCTGGTTCTATCCTATTTTCAAATACATTTTTGACCCATATAGACACATTAAACACCTATTAGGCACTATAGTTTCGGAAAATTAAAATATTTTCCTCAGTCCCCTTAACAGTTCAA